GAGTGAAAGCCAGTGTGTTAGGACAGACAAAGCAGACTTCCCCTTCGGTGGAGCAGCCGAGGGGGAGACTGCGAACAGTTATTCCCCTCCTCCTGGGCGGACCGGGCGCCCTGTTACCCAGAAGGAAAGGGAGAAGGCCTACCCTGAGGCAGGGCAGAGCCCGACCTTGGTGGGTGTTCTGGCTTTTATGACTCGGCTTAATGTCCAGCTAAGTAGTTATTTTTGTGTGTAATTATTTTATCCTCTTGAGTCTTCTTCGTTATAAAATGACCTTGTCTATTTCTAGTAGCAATTCTTATCTTAGGGCCTGTCTTACCTGCATGCTCCACGTGACAGAATTTCCATCAGTGTCAGGCTGCATGTGTGGTGGTCCTCCCGTAGCATTAGACCGCGTGGCTTAATTTGGTACAGGTATACCATCTAGATCTGGGGTCTATCAGGGCCTGGCATCTTTTTATTTAATATTCCTCTCTTTATTTTCTTTTCACATTTCACTGTAAGTCTCAAGAAGAAACCAGTTTGTACCTTCTGTAGTTTATTTCATTCATTACAGCGAGCGCATGCTCACAGCATGGAGGAGGAAGAGAGGGGAGCATTCCTGACAGGGCCTGGTCAGACTGCAGTCCCCTCCCCACACGCATGCACCGAGTGTGTTTGAAGCCCACCAGGCCAGGGGCTGAGCCCACAGCCAGCGCTTGGCTTCCAGCACGGCGGTACTCAACCCGCTGCCGTGGAAGCTTTCCGCGCCTTCCACAGCCGCGCTGACATTTCCCTCGGTAGAGCTCAGAGTCCATTGGGTAGTTTTCTGCTTTCTAAGCTACTGCAGACAACGGTGTTGTGAAACTCCGTGCCAGTACGTTCAAGTGCATTCTTCACTCCGGTTTCCGATGGCATTCACCTCGCTTTGCTACAGGTACAAACCCGGCAGCCTTGTCAAGGACTGCAAGTCACCTGGTAAGAGCTCTGGAAGTTACTTTAGCTTTCATTCACCCTGTCCAAGGCCATAGCTGGTTCTGCAGCCAGGCCTGCGTTCTGGGTTGCCCATCCAGGAGCTCCCAGCAACGCCAACGCACCAGGGTCCAGGGCCTGCGTTACCTTTGTGAACCACACTGGCTCCGAAGTTGGGGGTAACAGACACTCGCTACCTCAGGTTTTCCCTGAAGGACCTTGAAAGTGGGCTCTCACGGACTCCGGCCACTGGGCAGGGGGTGGCACTCGGCTGAGACGGGACTGGTCTGGAGGTTTTTCCGAGCTCACTCTGTCCGCTTCCAGACGGCTTCTCGTGGGCCTCCCCACGGAGAGCGGCAGTGGGGAAGTGGAGGGGCGGAAGGGCGAGGGGGCAGAGAGCCCCACTGCTTCATCAGCACTGACATGGAAACCCTGTTCCTGGTCACCCCCGGCCTCTGGGATGACACACAGGCCACCATGACACAGCACAGAGGCCGCAGCACAGGGCACACCGCAGGAGGCCGGTGTGGCACCCTCGGGGGCAGCTGCCACCCAGCTCTTAGACCTCGGGCTCGTTGGCTCTGGACAGTGAAAAGATGAGGCAGAGGTGGTCTTTTAAGTATTTCTGTCTCCTGGGGGTAGTACATCCTGTTCCCACGTGCCACCACTCCCCCTTCCAGCCTCATACTGACTACTTGCCCAAGTCCGGCTCTTGTTTCTTTCTTTCCTGTTTCTTTTAAAGAGAGAGAGATTTGCTACAGGGCGTGTGCTTACTGGGGAGTCAGAAAGTGGGGAGTCACCCCCGTGGGGGTGGCCATGCTGCAGTCTCTTCTCCACTCTCCTCTCAGGATTTGGGCATACACACACTCACACCCGGCTGTTTTAAGCCACCAAGTCCTGGACTCAAACTGTGGTCCCACTTGCCTTACTCTTGAAAAAATGAGTTTATAATCCCGGGGCAAGCTCTTAAGTCATTGCTTCGTGCAGTTACGATGGCTTGTGCAAGCGACTGAGAAGCCTCACAGATGAGCCAGACGCTGAGCAGCTTCTGTCTGCTTTCTCTCTCCCACTTTGCTTTATTTCGTTCTTGTTGGGCCTTTTTGGGTTTTTTTGTGCAGTCTCTCACGGACCTAGTCTGCGCCATAACTGGGGATAGAAAGTGAGCAGACGATAGGGCGATAGGACAGGGCAGCACCGCGGCTCTGAGCTTGGCTCGATAGACGGCACGGCCGCGTGTGAGAGCCTAATCATGTCTCTTTCGAGTACGGCAAATTTAAAGCTTATGTATGTTTTTCTCCCATGAGAAAGATAAGGGATGGGGGGGCAAAGCAGCCACAGCAGGGTCCTCGTGCCACAGCCCGCCCCGTGCCAGCCAGCGAGATCACGAGCACACGCACGTGTGCCCACATGCATGGGGGGAGCAGGGTGCAAGTCCAGAACCTTCCACATGGCCGGTTATGCCGCCCCCGTGCCATGAGCTGGCCCCCTTGCAGACTTCATCATTCTGAGTTGATAGGATGATGATGTTGATCAGTAAATTACAGGGCAAACAGAAGACCTCAAAGTAAAGCCAGTATCACCTTAAACTGATCATGCAAAGCAAGATTAGGTTAGGAAAAACATAGAAAGTTTGTAAAAGCCATCAGAGATTCCTGAAGAAGGCAATAGTCAAGAAATGTTCCATATTTGGAATTCTCCTATCCACCCTAGAAATTTCTTGAAGTGTATTCATGTTGGTTAAATTCACTTTACAAGCCATAATGATGTATAGTGATTGAATGTGTCAAATAAATTTTTAAAAATTTCTTGTTTGGCAAATTTATTTTACTTAGGTTACATATACATCTATTCTGGACCTCAAAGTACCACATGGGCTTGTAAATTATTTCCTTTCTATTTTTCTAGTTATCAACCTAATCTTTACATATTTTTACTTGTTTGTTGTTTTGTGACTTAAATGAAATCGCTCAGTTCTGCACCTTCTGTTTCTCTTGCTGTGTTCCTGATTGTATACCTCCGGTAACAGCTGAACTTACTGAACTGGCGGTGCGCTAGGTCCAGGTCTCAGTGTTTTGTCAACAATCTTATATAACCCCACCACGTGCTATAGCAAGCCCTATGATGACTTCCTAGAATCCATCACTTGTCATTTTGGTGAACAAGGAATATATTACTAGCCTGTATTTGTGAGGATGGCGAAGATTCCAACCAGTAACTGGGTCTTGAGGTTTAGGACCCAAACACAAATAGTGCACCAGTTCTAAACAAGGAACAAAAGCGAAGGCTGAAGTGTTTTTTCTCTTGCAGGCCCTATAGTTCCTTCTCCCAGATGTCTTTGTTCTGAAAGAGGAAATACAGTGATTATTACAGAATATCTCTAGCATGTGTGACCGATCTTAATTGACTCCTACCAGCTGAGGTCATGGTCTGCTCCCAGAGTGCCGGGACTCGTGCTGACAGTGGTTGACTGCTTCTCTGCTGAATAACCCTTGTATGTTAGAGCCATGGGCCTTGAACGGCAGACACTGGTTCAGCTCTCCAGACGAGTGTTTACATAACCCTGAAACACAGAACTTGGGGAGGCTGACCTTTTCTGTCTTAAGACTGCCCTGGTCAGGGCACGCCTGGGCACACCACACTGGCCTGGATAAGAGCACAGGCATTTAAAGAATGGAAAACAGTTATCTCTGCAAGTGGGCCTGCATCTAAGAGGAAGAAGGGGCGAGCCTAACTAGTTACCCACCTAGTTAGTGAATATTGTTTAAACCCAGTATACCTAGTCATCCTTTCTAATTTACCAAGTACTCAGCCTCTGAAGGGGCAAAGTAAATAGAGATTGAAGTGAGGTCTAACATGTTTATGAAAGGCTGCTGCTATCATTCCCAATACCAAAATTTTATTACAGCTATACTGTATATTGTGTTTAAAGACCATCTTTCCTTATTCCGTACCTCTTACTTAAAACTCATCCAGCTGGTCTACCCGCTTAGGCCTCAGGCAGAATCTAAGGTGTGGCCACAGGCTCCGTTGCAGTTGCAGCTGCCATCTTGTTCTGGGTTGAAGATTGGTTGAGACCCTCAGTAATGGTGCTGTCATTCTATAAGAGACTCTTTAGAGAGCCATGCTGAATATTTTAGAGTGAAATATCGTAATTCTGCAATTTACTACCAGTAGTTCTCCTGGTAGTAAATTTTTTTAAAAGTAAAAAGAAGACAAATGTAGATAGTTCTTGACTCATGGTGGAGGCTATCTGTGTCATTGTACCAATTTTTTTAAGACTTTTTTTTCATTCTTTCTTTTTTTCTTTCTTTTATTTGTTTATTTATTTATTTATTTTGCTTTAGGGCACATGCGCTTACCAGAGAGACAGAAAGCGAGAAATCACCCCACAGGGGGGATGGCCACACCGCAATCCGTTCTCTTCCATTCTCCTCTCAGAATTTTGGGCACATATGTATACACACCCAGTGTGAGTGTCAAGCCTCCGGGTCTAGGACTTGAACTGTGGTCAGCCACTAGGAGTCTAGCACCTTAACCACTTCACCACTTGCTGGGCCCCCTGCATTTTTTTTTTATGATCATAATTTTTTATATGAAAAGTTAAGGGAAGAAAAAAAGGTCATTACAATGAGAATCAGAAATGTATATATATAAGCACATTTTACAGAATTGAATAATTTGCTTAATACACTTATAAGAGTTTAAATGTTTTCATAAGTAGTTACTGCATATACTTACTTTATTATATTCATTTAAAAATTGCTTGGTCACACACTAAGTTTTAAAGTCTGGTAGGATAAACTTGGATGAGTATTAACACTCTGAAAATGAGTTGTGCTTCTCTGTCTAGTTTTCACAGGACACAGAATTCCCATTTGAATAAATGATTAAATGGCTGGTTTTGGTTGATGTAGAATAATCAAACTAATTACAATAAATCCATGAAGTTTTTATTGCTAAATCATTGGCAATTATTTATAATAAAAATAGGTTTACAGATTGGCAACTTCCATTTCTCTTTTTTAACAGTTGTTATGTTTATTTCTTCCCAGATCTTCCTCAGAACTGTGATCCTAACATTCCCCTAGTTGCTCAGGAATTAATGAAAAAGATGATACGTCAGTTTGCAATTGAGTACATTTCAAAGAGTGGTAAAATTCAAGAGAATAGAAATGGTTCGATCGGACCGAGTCTAATATGTAAGAGTGTCCGAATGAATCAAGCAGAAAACGCCCTTCAGGAAGAGCAGGAAGGCCCCTTAGACCTCACTGTGAATCGGATGCAAGAACAAAATACTCAGCAAGGTAAGACTCTTCTTATGCATGTAATACATAATTTTATGTTTTATATCTTTAACTCAATTGTCTATGTATGTGTATATGTATGTCTAATATATTCATAGGGAAACCTACTTTAGACATAATATTACTTTTAATTTGCTTACATAATACATACAGACAAGAGAGAAGGGCAAGTTTAGAGCTTTAGTATTGCCTCTTAAATGGTTTATAAGAGCTTTTTCTGAGTTCTCATGTTTTTTCACAATAAAGTGTGTGGTGAGAGAATCCAAATAAACCACCTAAAGGGTACAAGTTGTCTTCTCCTTCGCTAGTAACAGAAGGTCCCTGAGTCTGGGGAATTGGAAAGAAGAGGTTTATTCAGCTCGTGGTTAGGAGGTCTGGGGCCCGCGGTTGGTAGTTTTCTTCTTGCCCTGGTCCCGAGGCCACGCAGGGCGTCACTTCAGAGAACAGGAGCATGTCCTCTGTGTGACGTGTGTATCTCCTAGCCTGACCTCCCTCTCCTCACAAATTCAGTGGGAATCCCACCGTGACCACTCCCAAAGGCCTCACCTTTCGCCACCATGTATTAAGAGGAAACTTAATCATAACCTGAAGTTAGAAACAGTGCTAGCTCCACAATATAAAAATGAAGTTCTTTGCAGAGGGAGCCAGATCCTGCATGGCCCACCGTTGCTCTAACCCCAGCCCCAGCATCCTGGAACGGTGCTGGGTGCATGTCCAGGGGTGCCCAGGCCCTGACAGGACGGAGGCGTGGAGGAAGAGGAGTTGCGGCGTGACCATGCCCCAGGTGCTTTCTCTCTGTCTTTCTCTTGCATGCACACATGCAAAAATGCATGCAACCTCAATGATTAGGAAAGGAAAAAAGCTGAAGCAAAAATACTGATAGTGGCTGTAATCCCTTTGTGGCTTGTTGTCATATATGATCTCAGAGTTCTTTAGGACAGAAATGGCTTGTTTCAGTGTGGTTTGTAGTGTAGAGTGCAAGGGTTAGAAGAGTGATGGATAAAGCTAAAGAAGTTAGTAGGAACCAGATTATGGACTATTACAGGTTTTGTTTCCTTGAGGCCACAGGAGCTGCCAAACTGTTTTGAGCAGAGAGTGACCAGATGAATTTTCTTCTATGAAAACATTCTGTGGAATGAATTGATTTTCTTTAATTTGTCTACCTGTATACCAAACAAACAACAAAAAAAAATTAAGATGGAGCACATACCCTTTGATGTGACAGAAAGTGAGAAATCACCCCCCAGAGAGGATGGCCATGCTGCAATCCCTTCTCCTCTGTTCTCCTCTCGGGATCTTGGGCACGCACGCACATGCGCCCGGCGTGAGTTTAAGCCACCGGGTCCGGGACTTGAACTGTGGTCGGCTATATGGGAGTCCAGCAACATAGCCATTACACCAACTGCTGGTCCCTCCATTTTCTTCTCGGAATCTTGGGCATGCACACACATGTGCGTGGTGTGAATTTCAAGCCAGCAGTTCTGTGAGTCAAACCACGTTTGGTCACGTGGAAATCCAGCACCACCACGCCTCCTGTTGACCCTGAGTGGTGCAGTCCTTAAATGCCGCACCTCAATTGTGATGTTTCAGCCATTATTAAATATATTGTAACTTTCACTTTGTCTTCCATGAAAATCCACTGAGTCGTATTTTGGGACTTACTCTGATGGGCTGCAGGAAAAATCATGACGTATTTTTTCTATTACTTTCCTTGCAAAACTGGGTCAGGACTTCTCTGACAGCCCAGTGTACTTCATGTCTGTTGTCTTTCCTTTCATGGTTTTCAATCTGTGTTATATTCTGATTAGTTTGTTCAGTAATATTTTCCAATTCACTGATTATCTCTCTTTTTTTTTTTTTGGGAGAGGTTTTTACTATAGGGCGTGTGCGCTCAGCTGAAAGACAGAGAAAAACAGAGAGACAGAAAGCGAGAAATCACCCCCCAGAGGGGATGGCCACACCACAATCCCTTCTCCTCCATTCTCCTCTCAGGATCTAGGGCACGCACGCACACGCGCCGAGCGTGAGTTTAAGCCACGGGGTCTGGGACTTGAACCGCGGTTGGCTACATAGGAGTTCAGCAACATAGCCACTACGCTAACTGCTGGTCCCACTAATTTTCTCTTTAACTGTTCTAATCACTATCTTAACGTAGGTCTTGAGTTTCTGATTTACGGTTATGTTTTTCACATATGCCTATCAGCATGCCCTTAGTTTTATAAGAGAATCAATAAGGTACCAAGAGTGACTGGAAGGATTCTTTTAGGTAAGGTAGTCAGGGAAAGCCTCTCTGAAAATGCGAATTTTAGCTGAAACTTGAGTAATGAGAAGCCATTTGCATGAACATCAGGGGCAGAGCATTCCAGGCAGAAAACTATCACTCTATCACCTCTCGTGACAGAGAATCAAAACCGAGCGAGGGCAGGAATGAGTCAGGTGTGTTTGAGGAACTGTTGGATTGTCAGAAACGTCCTGATGCATTTTTGCATAGAAAAACAGAAAAATACATCATGATTTTTTCAATGACTCAATATATGAAGATTGTCTCAGTCACTTAAAACTCAAGGAACTACTTAAAGCTTTTTCTATAAAGTCATATTGTACCAGCACAAAATATCATTGTTCCAGTATAAGCTGAATTTTTATTTTTTATATTTATTAAAGAATATCATTACAGGGGCCAGCATGTGGCATGGTGCTTAAGGTGCTAGATTAAGAACACGACTGACTGCAGTTCAAGTCCTAGCCCCAGCAGCTGAAAACACAACAGATAAATAGAGAAACCAATAAATGTTTTTAAAATATATATCATTACAACAAAAAGGCATGCACTTTAAACTTAGAAACCTCCATAAATGTTACCTTGTGAAATGGCAAGTGACAATTCGTCGTTCCTTTTTTTCTTTTTCTTTTTCTTTTTCCTGGTAGCTTTTTTATATATTCTCTTCGGTAAAGAGAGAACTTTCAGGGCTAGCAGGAGGCGTAGTAGTTATGTCACTGGATGCCCACGAGACTGACCATGGTTTGAAATTCACGCCCAGTGTGTGCGTGTGCACCAAACGTCCCGGGAGGAGAATGGAAAAGAAGGGATTGCAGCGTGGCCATCCCCCGCCCCCCAGCGGGTGATTTCTCACTTTCCTTCTCACTGTCTCCTTCTCTTTCTTTACATGAACACGCACACGCACACACACACACACACAATCGCTCGCGTGTCATTGAAGATGAATGTCGTGTACCTTGTGTCATGACGTGTTACCCGTGAAGTATTCTTATCCGAAGCATAGGCTCTTGGGGGCAACAGGTGGCATGGTGGTTAAGGTGCCCATATGGCTGACTGCACAGTTCAAGTCTTGGACCCACTGGCTTGAAAAAACAGGCCAGGCTCACATATCTGCATTCCCAAATTCCTGAAAGAATGCGAAGAAATGATTGTGGCGTGGCCATCACCCTGGGGGCTGACTTCTCACTTTGTCTCTCTCTCTCTCTCCATTGAGCGTACACACTCGATGGCAAAAATCTTTTCTTTTTTTTGAAAAAAGAAAAAGGTCGAATGTGCATAGAAAGCCTTTTCAAGACCGCTGGTTCGCGAAGTTCAGGAAGCTCTGAATTTTTGAGAGCCTTCTGGGGGTACACCTGGTCAGAAGCACTGGGCATTGGGAAAGCCATGGCACTTGGCATGCATAGAAAAAGATGGGAAATATGTCGTGACTTCCCAGAGGGCCTGGTAGTAATAATACATTATTTGCTATCAATTAAGAATATTTTATATTTTATTTTTATTTTTGATATGGTAAATATCAGTAGATGTAATCTTCGTAAACTCCTTGAGGTCTGCAGTAATTTTCAAGACTAAAAAGGATGGTGAGATCCAAACGTTTTGAGAGTCACTTGTTTTAGAGCTAATTTCAAGTGTGTGAGTATTATGGGGAGATTTTAAAAACAAACAAAAAAAAAAAAAACAAACAAAAAACGAATGAAACCACTGGAAAGCAGACAGAATACTCCATAGTCTAGACTTCCTCTGCAGACCTCATTACCTGGTTTCTTCAAAAAGTCAATGTCATTGTTTTAACAATAAAGAGATATAGAAATCAGACATAATGCAGAGCCATGACTGATTTTGTACTCACTAGAAAAGACTTGGGTAGAAACCAAGTATTAAATGATAGCGGCACTTGTAGAGGAACTAGACCGCCAGTACGGAGATTAGAGCATGACAGCTGCCGTCTGTCCCCCACCTGGAGTGGGTCTGTTTCCTGGAAACTATCTCCTTGTGCACACACACGCGCACACACGCGCACACTCACCCACCTCCCGGTGCTCACCCTCATCATGGACATTAGGTCATTCTCCTGGCCTGTGCATGCGTCGATGTTTCTGTGCCTCCCTGTGTTGCCGAGTGTTCTCTGCAGAATTCTTGAGCGGTGCAGGTGCTTTGCCTAGCCAGCGAGCACGTGCTGGGCTGTCTCCGTGTGCACGTGACACCTGGCACCGAGGCCGTGCACTCATGCCACGTGTGTCCCTGAGGGCAGGTCTCGAAGTGGGACTGCTGTTGGGCGTCAGGGCAGTGAGGATTGGGGTGTGGAAGAGACCGAAGGAGACAGGGTGGGGTGTTCTGGGCTGGTGGTGGTCATCGGGCTCCATTCGCATGGAGAGGTCCGTGTCCTCGGGTCCTCGGGTGCACGTTTGTTAGGAACAGCATGGTTCAGTAGCGGGCTCCTCAGGTCTGCTGTGGAGGTACCACGTTAGGGCTGGAGGGCCCCACTGCCGGAGGCCCGGGCCCCGTGGCCAGAAGCAGGTCGCAGACGCTCAGAGGCCAGGCAGAGTGCAGGCCTGCACGCCAGCTAACAGGGAGCCTGCAGGAGAACCCCAACCCCGGCCACCGCCAAGCCCGTCTCCTTTTCTCCGCTTCCTCTCGCCTTATTAAAAGAAAGTTCCTTAAAAGTCACATAGATCAGTTTGGGGTGAGCCCCCAGAGACTAGCACAGGTATGTGAATCA